CATCAGTTTTGTCCAACTCTGTGTGACCCCATAGACGGCAGCCCACCAGGCTGCCGTCCCTGGGATTCTACAGGCAAGAATACTGGAGTGGGCTGCCATTTCCTTCTCCAGTGCATGAAAGTGAAAAGTGAAAGTGAAGCCGCTCAGTCGTGTCCCGTGTCCGACTCTTCGCGACCTCATGGACTGCAGCCTACCAGGCTCCTCTGTCCATGGGATTTTCCAGGCAAGAGTACTGGAGTGGGGTGCCATTGCCTTCTCCGATACCCAGGGGAACCTAGTGTTTTTTCAGCAAAGGTTGGATCAAAAATACTGAGGACGGTCGCTAGATGTCCCTCTTGTGTCTCTAAAGAGGCTGAAGAGGCGGGGCTCACTTCAGGATTGAAGGGAACCTAAGACTGAGAGAACTTTCTTTTTGTTTTCATTATCTACACCCAGAACTGTTTTTATTCAATTAATAAATTCCTGATCGTGAAGGTGTTTTTGGCTACTCACTTAGTAGCATTGTTAGAGTACGATGATCAAGTGTGTTTATTAGCAAAAATTGTTGAAGTGTAATGATAACGTGCGTCTATTAGCAAAAAATACATTCTGAGAGCAAACGGTGGCGGCGGCATTACGGTTATCTGTAGAAGTAGACTAGGGGCATGGAAGAACTATTTTTTGGAGGGGAGGTGTCACTATCACTTTGAGCTTGCGGGTGATGAGAAGGAAGGAAAGCAGAGGTACACGCCCCAGCCTGCCTTGGCACCTGGTTTTCATAAAAGCGGTTTAGTATAGCTGGGAGTACTTCGGTTGCTCGACTTGGAAAGGCGGGGAGCATTGAGTGTGAACAGCGAGCAGGACCCAGGGATCCCCGTGCGATCTCCGTAGCAAAGCGAGCGCATTTGTCTTTGCAAATACAGAACATGTCTTCATAATGTGGTTGCAATTACAAAGGTAATGACATTGTACATGGATTGAATTCTCTTATTTATCTTTTAAAGACAGCAGACTATAAACATTCTATTAGCATTCCCCAAGGTAAGAGGTCCTCAGCCCTCTTGTGTGCATCTTTCAGATGCCACGGCAATGATAATCATTTTACCTGAGTAATTCTTCCATTTCTTGTTACCTGGGGGATTGTTAATGGCCGAGACCACTTCTCAGACTCTTTGCTCCCGCTCAGTCAAGCCGGGGAGGCGCCAGTTTACTTTTATTGATCAGTGGGTTCCTGACAGCCTTCACCACAAGGAAGCAGCATCATCCTTTTTTAACTTAAAGGAGAACAGATCGCCTTAAAGTTTACAGCTAAAGCTTCTAAGCATTGCATGCAAACATTTTAGCATGCTGCTAATTGTTCTGTTTAAATAGTCCAAGCAATATTTTAGAATGTTACCAAATGCCAAACTCATATCCCATGATCAGATAGCAACCCATTTCAAATGCCTTTTTAGGCCGTTTTAATTAGACCGAGATGCATAATGAAAGGTAAATAACTGTGGTAAATCAAATGGAGCCCTTCTTTGCGGAGCCTGTGAGGTGCGTCCGCGTTGCCTGCCATGTTGTAGCTCTCCTCCGGCAGGGTCTGCGGAAAAGCAGGCGGGCCACTCGGCTCCCTCGAGTCACAACTCTGTTGTTCACCTGCACCTCTAAATGACCAAATTAAATGATATTCATTGCAGATGCTTCGATTTTCTCCTAGATGTTTTGGGCTGAATTGCATCCTAATGTGAGAGAGTGAAACGACCCCCACGCGGAAAGCAGATCAAGCTCTTTGAGCCCTCCCCTTGGTCTCAGATGTACGTTGGGGCGGGGAGGGGGGTCTCAACCTCAATCCCAGAATAATTCTTTTATGAGAGAGAAAGCTGTCTTCTTCTTCCTCCTGCCAAAGTAAAGGCCGCTAAACTAGCTCCTCTTGGAAAGAGAAATATTTTTTAAAAGCAACTAGGCTGTTCTCTGCAAAAACATGGCAGTTTTGAGAAAACCTATTATGTGTTCAAATGCCTTTTCCCCTTGTTAAATGTTTTTTAAAGGACAAAAGTGAGTCTCATTTTAAGCACACAGGCTCGGGCCAGTGTCTCTGGGTTAATTATGAATTTGCTCACCCAAGACTCCCAAATATCCAAGACGATTCACTCAGAAGGGAGATGCACTCTTTCAAGAATTGTGAATTTAGAAGCCAGTCCCCCTCCACCCCCAATCTATGATGAAAAAAAACAAAACATCCCAACTTGTTCAGAGAAGTACTTTTGATTTTTCCAGCCCGTGACCTTAATTAAGAGATTCAGGACGGGGCAGGGAGGAGTCCCCCTCTGTCCCCAGGGCGCCTTCAGTCCAGAAGGAAAGCCGAGTTTGATATCAATCCCGGCCACGCCGGCCTCCCGCTTCTCAGCACCGCCGCACGCCAGCCACCGTCGCCACCACCGCCAGAGAGAAGCTGGCAGCCCCCTGGGACTGAGGCCTCGCAGGAAAGCTGGGGCGCCCCGCACATCGGCGCCGGCTCCAGCTGCCGGCGACCAACGTAGACTGCGCACCAGCTCCGCAGCTCCCGCTGGGCTCGCGGCTCTCCTAGCTTTGCACGGTGCAGCGGCGTCCGCCCACCCGCTCTTCTCAAACGTACAGTTTATTTATAGGGAGCTAAATTCTCCAATGGGGTTGGGTGAGGGGCAGCGAAATGTGTCCAGCCCTTTGGGTGGCTCAGTCCCTGCGCCACAGATCCCATTTGATTAACAGACAACAGACAAGAGCGAACCGAACCCGATCAGGGACCCTGCTTGGGCCGGGGGTGGGGGCTCGCAGGTCTGCTCGGGAAGGAGGGATAGGGGTGACGGTCCGGGAGGATGGCTGCCGCGGCTGTTAGCTGAAGAGTCACTGGCCAAGAGCCGGATGAATGACCACGTCTGGGTCGCTTTCTCCTTCCCTTTCTTCCTTCCACTACCCGAGAAGAAAGAGAAACTGACAGACAAACCTAGGGCGAAGAGACAAAGAGGGCGGGAGGAGGGGAGAGAACGAATATGAATATGAATATTATATTCAAAATATGAAGATATGTGAGGGAGATAAACAAGAGAATCAAATCCTCATCTCTCCTGCAATCTCTACAAACACGAGAGGCGTGCAGTTCCTGGGAAGGCTCAACTGCAGCTCCAGCACATCCCTCGACTTGCTCCACCCTGCCTTCTAGCCCCTGCTGGGCCTGCCTGGCCTCCCAGACTGCTGCCTTGGCTCGGCGGGCCGGGGTACCACTTGGTCCCGCCAATGTGTAAGTTTCCGGCTGGCCCCGCCCCCTCCCGCGCATTGGCCCCGCCCCAATGCCGGGCCCGCTTGGCTGAGCGCTGATTGGCCAGTGCCTGGCGTAGCCTGTCTCAGCAGCTCCGGCTCTCTCCTGCTCTCTCCAGACTACACGGCCAGTAGTTTGCGGCATCGGCAGGAGCAGCAGCAGCAGCAGTAGCGGCGGCGGCGGCAGGTTCAGAGGGGAGACGGACAAGCGGGCACAGACGGCAGCACGGCTCCCGCGCACCATCCCTTGCTTGCCTGGGGGTCACTGGCACCTGCGTCCCTAGCCCGGCGCGGGCCCTTGGCGCGTTGCGCTCCGTGGCATTCCGGCTGAGAGGATTCATCGGAGATCCGAAACCTCCCACCCCTGCTCTCTCACACTCCCCACTCACACTCCTCGCACCATACACTCACTCTTCCTTTCTCTCATACATTCACCCACAGCCAAAGACAGAAAGAGAAAGCGTGATAGACCTCCCATGTCCGCGAGCGCCGGGGAGGGTGTGAGCCCAACGCAGCTCGGCCAGCGCCTCTCCAGGAGGATGGAATCAAGAAGCTCCCGCAAGTAAACTTTGGCGGCGACATAACCGTCGACCGTGGCAGCTGCTGAGGCGGACCCCAGCGACATGCGATTGAGCTAGGAGGGCTTCCTCCCCTGGCAGCGGCGGCCCTCGGAGCGACACCCCAGTCCAGACCGAGGGAGGAGGAGAAGCCCCTGGTACCAGCGGCGGCGGCCCCGCCTCTCCTGGCCGGTACTGTTGTTGCTTTCCCTAGAAAGACCGGACTTTTATTTTCTTGGACAAATTTCCATCGGCCCGTTTTCACAAACTTGACGTGGAGGCTCGGGCTGCATTGGTAACTTTAATTTCCGAGACGCAGAAGTCCGCAGTCCAGCTGCTCAGTGGGGGTGACTCCGTGTCCACCTCCGATCCTGGACACACGCGCCCCTCAAGCCTTCTGAAGCCAACCACAGTGCAAGGGAGCAAGCTCTGGTCTTGGCAGCCTCTATCCCCTCCCCCGTCTTCTGCGGGCTGGAGGACTGCCATCCCGCTCAGCCGGATACTCTGAAGGCTGCGGCGCTTGACAGCAATTCAAACTCCCTCCTGCACCTCCCTTTCTCCCCAACAGGCCTCGAAAAGGCCAGCGTGGGCCCCCAGGATCCCAGAGGGTGCGTTCCAGGCGGATCCTGTCTCTGCAGTGAGCCAGGAGCACTGGGGGTAGATCCTTGCGCATGCCAGGTGCACAGACAGCGTGCTCACCAGCCCCAGTGCCGGTGCGCCGCGGCGGGTCCGGCACTGCCTGAGAGGCTGTACCCGCACTGCACTCCCCGCCTTCGCCTCCAGTGCGGTCCGGACATAGCAGCGCGTCGATCCGGCTTCTCAGACGCGGTTCCACCCGCAACCCTGCACCGCTTCGGCCAGTCGCGCCGGGCTAACTTTGAAGGGGGAAAACTGAATAGCCGGGCTGGAGGGAGGGGGCTCGGGGCCGCACGGCGCTCCTTCGGCCCCTCGGAGCCCCCGGGCCCCGCGAGAGCCCCCGCCGGGTCCGCCGCAACTTCAGCATTGGAGCCGGCGCGGGTCTCCCCCCCGCGCCGCCGGGCCGCCCTGGGCGGGACTCCTCCCGCGGCCTCTGGGGCCCCGGGGTGCGCGCAACAGGCGGCCCGAGTCGGCGGGAAGCTGGAGCGCCGGCGGCGTCGGTCTCGGAGGGGTGTGGAGAGGCGAGGCCAGGCAGAGCCCCGCGCAGCCATGGAGTCACTCCTGCTGCCGGTGCTACTGCTGTTGGCTGTGCTATGGACACAGGCGGCCGCCCTCATTAACCTCAAGTACTCGGTAGAAGAGGAGCAGCGCGCCGGGACGGTGATCGCCAATGTGGCCAAGGACGCGCGCGAGGCGGGCTTCGCACTGGACCCACGGCAGGCCTCTGCCTTCCGTGTGGTGTCCAACTCGGCTCCGCACCTGGTGGACATCAACCCCAGCTCGGGCTTGTTGGTCACCAAGCAGAAGATCGACCGTGACCTGCTGTGCCGCCAGAGCCCCAAGTGCATCATCTCACTCGAGGTCATGTCCAGCTCAATGGAGATTTGCGTGATTAAGGTGGAGATCAAGGACCTTAATGACAACGCTCCCAGCTTCCCGGCGGCACAGATTGAGTTGGAGATCTCGGAGGCGGCCAGCCCCGGCACGCGCATCCCGCTGGACAGCGCTTATGATCCGGACTCGGGCAGTTTCGGCGTGCAGACCTATGAGCTGACTCCGAATGAGCTATTTGGCCTGGAGATCAAGACTCGCGGTGACGGCTCACGCTTCGCCGAACTCGTGGTGGAGAAGAGTCTGGATCGCGAGACGCAGTCGCACTACAGCTTTCGCATCACTGCGCTCGACGGCGGCGACCCGCCGCACCTGGGCACTGTTGGCCTCAGCATCAAAGTGACCGATTCCAATGACAACAACCCGGTGTTTGGCGAGTCCACCTATTCAGTGAGCGTGCCAGAGAACTCACCTCCCAACACTCCCGTCATTCGTCTCAACGCTACTGACCCAGACGAAGGCACCAATGGCCAGGTGGTCTACTCATTTTACGGCTACGTCAATGACCGCACTAGAGAGCTCTTCCAGATCGACCCACACAGCGGCCTGGTCACCGTCACCGGTGCCCTAGACTATGAAGAGGGCCACGTTTATGAACTGGACGTGCAGGCCAAGGATCTGGGGCCCAACTCCATCCCGGCACACTGCAAGGTCACCGTCAGCGTTCTGGACACCAACGACAACCCGCCGGTCATCAACCTGCTGTCGGTTAACAGCGAGCTGGTGGAGGTGAGCGAGAGCGCCCCCCCGGGCTACGTGATTGCACTAGTGCGGGTGTCTGATCGAGACTCTGGCCTCAATGGGCGCGTGCAGTGCCGTTTGCTGGGCAACGTGCCCTTTCGGCTGCAGGAGTACGAGAGCTTCTCCACTATCCTGGTGGACGGACGCCTGGACCGCGAGCAGCATGACCAGTACAACCTTACCATCCAGGCGCGCGACGGCGGCGTGCCCATGCTGCAGAGTGCCAAGTCCTTTACCGTGCGCATCACGGACGAGAACGACAACCACCCGCACTTCTCCAAGCCCTACTACCAGGTCATTGTGCAGGAAAACAACACACCCGGTGCCTATCTGCTCTCGGTGTCGGCCCGAGACCCCGACCTGGGTCTCAATGGCAGTGTTTCCTATCAGATCGTGCCGTCACAGGTGCGAGACATGCCTGTCTTCACCTATGTCTCCATCAACCCCAACTCAGGTGATATCTATGCGCTGCGATCCTTCAACCATGAGCAGACCAAGGCATTTGAATTCAAGGTGCTGGCCAAGGACGGCGGCCTGCCCTCGCTGCAGAGCAATGCCACTGTTCGGGTTATCATCCTCGACGTCAATGACAATACCCCAGTCATCACCGCCCCACCGCTGATCAACGGCACTGCGGAAGTCTACATCCCCCGCAACTCGGGCATAGGCTACCTGGTGACAGTTGTCAAAGCAGATGACTACGACGAGGGCGAGAACGGCCGGGTCACCTATGACATGACAGAGGGCGACCGCGGTTTCTTTGAAATAGACCAGATCAATGGCGAGGTCAGAACCACTCGCACCTTCAGCGAGAGCTCCAAGGCTTCCTACGAGCTTATTGTGGTGGCCCACGACCACGGCAAGACGTCTCTTTCTGCCTCTGCGCTCGTCCTAATCTACCTGTCCCCTGCTCTCGACGCCCAAGAATCAATGGGCTCGGTGAACTTGTCCCTGATTTTCATTATCGCCCTGGGCTCCATTGCTGGAATCCTCTTTGTCACTATGATCTTCGTGGCGATCAAGTGCAAGAGAGACAACAAAGAGATCCGGACCTACAACTGCAGGTAGAGCCAACTTTTTCTTTCTTTCCCTCTTTGTCTTGGGTGAATAAGGTGTATCTGTGTCTCTGTGTGAAAATCCCAATGCTTTTGTTTCCTATTTAAATGCATGCATCCTACTTACAGCAGCTTCTTTTGGGAGGTAGGGGGAGTTTGTGTTAGCCAGAGTTGATCAATTCTTTTGATCTGACAATTTGCTGGAAGACAACCATTTACTGTTTGAATGGATTCTGTCACATAAGATGATGAGCAGAAAAGCAATTATCATTTTAAAATTTGCACAGCTGTCTCCACGAAGTTATGGCAGGAAAAAATTTAAGGAGAAAGGGAGATTTTGAGACAGAGAGAGACTTGAGAGAAAGAGAGGTTGATTTTTGACAAAACCTTGAAGTACCACAACTTGATTTGGGGGCTGTAGAGTTTTGGAGACAAGTACTGAAAGGAAAGGGAGTGCTGGCAGCTGCCCTGTCCTGTGTAGAGAGAAACTCTGAAGAGAGCCTGTGAGTGGTTTCTTAGAAAACCTTAGAGTGGGGGGAAGAGAGAACAGGAGTATGTGGGGAAGCAGGTGATTAGAGTTTTTTTTTTTTTTTTTAGTGTGTTCTTGGCTTGTTTTGTATCCAGTCCTCAAACATCTTGCTATGTGAAGTGAAATTCTACTAGTTATCTATATGTTTTCAAATATCTGGTTGTTGGGTAGATACCAAACATCCCAATGAGGGACAGGACTTTTGCATCCAGATGTTTCACTAAAAATAGCAATCTTCTGGAGTTGATGGTTCTTTCCGCTAATATGGAACTCTGTTGTGGTACTAAGAGCTGGTCCCTACCAGTGGATGTCACTATGGGCTGTTTTGTTAGTTTCCCTTGCAATGTGTGCAGGGTATGTGTGTGGTATGAGTGAGAGAGAGAGAGTGGTGGGGGAAGGAGGATGAGGGGAGGGGAAGGTGGAGAGAGAGAAGGAGAAGAAATTTGGAAACCGGAATAACACATAGTAATTAAAAAAAAAATTTCCTGATCAGCACTTTGGAGGGTCTTGCTGACCCTCCTTACAATATCCAATTTAGGATAGTACATGGAATTTTTTTTCCAGCAGTGTCTCATCGAAACAGTTGAAAAAAAGTTGTTTCTTTAGTTTGCTGATAATGAATGATGCTGCTATTTCCAATGAAGGTGTGTGTGTGTGTGCTTTCAACACACCTACACATCCAGTATGTCTTTTGTGCCATCTGTGCTTGCATGTTAATCAGTCAAAATATGTTCCTGTAGGTCTGATTTGTATTTGACACCAACTGAAATTCACACTTCTGTGAATCAGAGCCCCCTGAATATGTAACAGTCATGCAATTATTGTTTCCCTTTTACTATTCTCTGCGTTACACAAGTTAGTAGACAAATGCTAACCACACATGAATATCAATCAGGTACCATAAAAGAGCAGCTGCAATGCCTCATAAATGCTTTAATCCTGTTACTAGTGAAATAGCCATGACTTTTCTTTCCTTCAGCTCCGAGTCATTTCAGATGAGAGAAATGGAAATTAATATTGCTCTTACCTTTGCAACCTGTGACTGCCAGTGGCAATTTTTATAGGAGAAAAATGTGTGGGTCTATAAAATTTTATTTATATGGAGATAATGATAGAGGGGACTCTTTTAAAGCCATTTCCTCAGCATAAAGTAAACGCATAAGACCCTTACTTGATGAAAAAGAAATCAGCTTGAAATAAAGATATTGAAGGCTATGCCACCTCTTGGTGATGTATGACTTGAAGTGAGAGCTCTTTCTGAGAGCTTGCCAGGGAGATCATTAAACAGGGAGGAGAGCGTTTGAATTGGTGGGGGGGGGGGGGAAGCAAATCTCAGTGCTCTCCAACTTCACTCATATGTGTATTTTATAAAGAGATCTGTTTCCTGCCCTGGTTTGGGATTAATGAAGTAGTTTAATTAAATAATTGATCAATACAGAAAGGGGTTGCAATGAATGCTTCAGCTGAATAATTGGACCGGGCATTGCCAAACTTACCCATCGTGGGTAAATGAAATGATTAGAACTATCCATTGATTTTAAACAGATTAGAAAGGAAAATCAACCCCAGTCCTGGGTTTTTGGGATTCTATCTGCTCCCAAGCCCAGGTAGCATCAGCTTGCCCTCACTGCAAGTATGCCTGAGCACAGAGTGTAAGGGTGAGGGTGACACAACTGCCCAGGTGTAGGAAGATCCTGGGGACAGAGCAAGAATGGGCCTCTGGAGATATGCAATCTTCCCATCTGCTCAGACTTTTTCGAAACATAAAGTTCAAGAGCTTCTCTTTCTAGGTATTAAGCAGAGGTTTCTTCTTCTCAGCCTCTGCAGAACCTCTTCCTGAAATGAATTCATTTATGAGACTTGCAAGATGATCTGCACTTGCTGCTTGAATTGGGCTCCCTTTTTGTACTCAGACAGTTAGCTTTGTCGAGAGAGAATACAAGCACAGTCTTCTCCCTTGTAAAGATAAACCTGTATTATTTATTAACCCAATTGTTTTGCTGATTATTGCTCAGAAATGGAATTTACAGACAATAAGCTGAATCATCATATGCAAAGTAATAAATGACTTTGAGAATCTGGCTACATTTAAATGTATTTTTTTGGACAACTCTTAATGCTTGGTGTCTTTGGTGCACATTGCTGAGTCTCTGTCAGTGTTAATTAAATTGAGCTCTTTATGTTCCAGTTGCAGCACAGCTGCTTATAGGTACACCTGAATCGAGAAGGATGCTGAATGCACTAACCTTTAAATTCCTTTGCAGTAATTGTTTAACCATCACTTGTCTCCTCGGCTGTTTTATAAAAGGACAAAACAGCAAGTGTCTGCATTGCATCTCGGTTTCTCCCATTAGCGAGGAGCAAGACAAAAAGGCTGAGGAGAAAGTGAGCCTAAGGGGAAAGAGGTAAAAAGGCTTTTCCCCCTCATTCAATTGGGTTTGGCTCTCAGATTTCTCGAGGAGCTGCGGGGGTGGGGTGGGGAGTTGAAGGGAGCAGGGCTAGGGCAGGGGGAAGGAGGGCAGGGGAAAGGAGCTGAGGATTTGTCAAAGGAAAGTGTCTGACGTGCTCCAGTCGAAAACTGATCAGGTCAGTTATCAAGGAACCTGACTTGAGGTTGTTTGTCACATGGCAGTTGCCTGGAGGACTGGAAAGGGGATTAGGTTTTATTTCCTTCCTGTCATCTTCTGATAAATTAGGATTTGCTGCTAATTTCACTCAGGAGTTCCTTTGGGTTCCAGGAAAGCTCCAGACTTGAGCATTTTCATGCTTTCTCTCCCATAGGCTCAACTTCCCCTGTCCCCACACCCTTTTTAAATGGCCACTCACAAGGAGAAATTCCAAATCCAAAGTATAGAAACTTTTGAGGAGGAAGGGGTAGCGAGAGGTTACTATGCTTAAATAAAAACTTTATGGCCCTCAGCTTGTTTTCGCATGTAAAAAGCACAGGGAGAAACCCGATGATGCGATGCGCCAGAAAAAGAAGGTGGAGCAGAGATGGGGTGCAATCCTCTGGGGTACTTGATGTTTATTAACTGATGCATGGTTTGGGAGGGCGTTAGCGATACATGCTGCCTTTTCTATCACATAGAATCGCTGAGTACTCCTATGGTCATCAAAAGAAATCAAGCAAGAAGAAAAAAATCAGTAAGAATGACATCCGCCTGGTACCCCGGGATGTGGAGGAGACAGACAAGATGAATGTTGTCAGTTGCTCCTCCCTGACCTCCTCCCTCAACTATTTCGACTACCACCAGCAGACCCTTCCTCTGGGCTGCCGCCGCTCTGAGAGCACTTTCCTGAACGTGGAGAACCAGAATACCCGCAATACCAGCGCCAACCACATCTACCATCACTCTTTCAACAGCCAGGGCCCCCAGCAACCAGACCTGATCATCAATGGCATGCCTCTGCCTGAGGTGAGTGTAGCTAAGCGGCTCTGTGAGGTCCTCCCAGGCCTCTATCCCCTGCTGCTCGCCTGATTCCATTATCCTCTATGGTGACACATTCCCTGGCAGGGGTGGGGAGAACTTCTCTGCCTTTGCCCATATCTGAAGTCAAGGTTTGCTACCTGTGCTTCTCAGGGCAAAGTGTACCCAATGTATATTATTATTATTAATTTATTTATTTTAATTGGAGGCTAATTACTTTACAATACTGTAGTTTTTTTTTTTTTGCCATGTATATGTGTTCCCCATCCTGAACCCCCCTCCCACCTCCCTCCCCATCCCATCCCTCAGGGTCATCCCAGTGCACCAGCCCTGAGCACCCTGTCTCATTCATCGAACCTGGACTGGTGATCTGTTTCACATATGATAATATACACGTTTCAGTGCTATTCTCTCAAATCATCCCACCCTCGCCTTCTCCCACAGAGTCCAAAAGTCTGTTCTTTACATCTGTGTCCCTTTTGCTGTCTTGCATATAGGGTCATTGTTACCATCTTTCTAAATTCCATATATATGCATTAATATACTGTATTGGTGTTTTTCTTTCTGACTTACTTCACTCTGAATAATAGGCTCCAGTTTCATCCACCTCATTAGAACTGATTTAAATGTATTCTTTCTAATGTCTGAGTAAGATTCCATTGTGTATATGTACCACAGCTTTCTTATCCATTTGTCTGCTGGACATCCAGGTTGTTTCCATGTCCTGGCTATTGTAAACAGTGCTGTGATGAACATTGGGGTACACGTGTCTCTTTCAATTCTCTTTTACTTGGTGTGTATGCCCAGTAGTGGGATTGCTGGGTCATATGGCAGTTCTATTTCCAGTTTTTTAAGGAATCTCCACACTGTTCTCCATAGTGGCTGTACTAGTTTGCATTCCCACCAACACTGTAAGAGGGTTCCCTTTTCTCCACACCCTCTCCAGCATTTATTGTTTGTAGACTTTTTGATAGCAGCCATTCTGACCGATGTGAGGTGGTACCTCATTGTGGTTTTGATTTGCATTTCTCTGATAATGAGTGATGTTGAGCATCTTTTCATGTGTTTGTTAGCCATCTGTATGTCTTCTTTGGAGAAATGTCTGTTTAGTTCTTTGGCCCATTTTTTGATTGGGCCTTTGTAGGGATGGATGTTGGGAGTGGGAGCTTAAGGTCTGAGCCTTTGGAATACCTGTGTGGCCGTCTAGCAAGATATGAATTCTACCACCTGTTGCAAATACAGCATGCTTGCCAGCCTGTGGTACCCAAATGTCAGTTAAAGTAGCTGAGTAATAATCAGCAAGTAGTCTTAAAGGTAGATGAACCCTAGAATGCTTGAGGGTCAGTTTCCCACTGTGAGAGTGATTCAGCCTCCTAAATCCCCTTTTTGCTTTTTGTTTGGTCATATACATCCTTAGCTGTGGATATGGATGGGCTGGTTAAAGGGAGGCAAACCAAAAGAAAGTAAAAAAGGCACTTTGCTATTGCTTAATAGTTCTTATGGTGACATTTGACAAATGAGGATGTTGAAATTTTCACTAATAATTAAAATTTCAGGAATTAACTAAGCATTTGTGTTAGCACTGTTTCTCTTTACCAGGAATGAATGTTTCCAAATGGAAGTATTTTTTTTTTACACAGTATGTGGTCTGATGTTTGCTGGCTCTTGAAATATTTCAGGGTAGTAGGGTAGTAATGTGGATGACGGTGAGTTGGTGCCTGGGTGGAAGGCTATAAACAACAGTTTTTAAGTTAATTTCATTTTTCCTTGAATTGCTTAAGTCCCTCTTTGGTTGGAAACTTGATGCACTTGGAGGCATATGCCCTTTTCCAGTCCACAAATGAAAAGAATACTATATACTCGGAGAGCACTTCACAACCATTGTCTTCTGTGATTCTTACAATCCGGTATTTTGATTGTCCTTCAGTAGATGATGAAATGGAGCTCCAGAGATGATAAGGGACTTATTCAGACTCACAGAGCAGAGATATTGAGAGAGAGAGAGAGACACACAACCAGATTTCAGAACTCTATAACTCTGGTGAGTGCAATGCTATTTCAGTGACACCTTCCATACTTTCCTGCCTCAGAAATAATTTAGCCTGACATACCTGGGCTGGGATGCATATAAAATGGCCTCACAGTATTTATATCAATTTCATAGGACAAAGGGATTTAGGACCACTTTCATCGACTGTTCTTCCTAATTCCTGAAAAATATTTCTTATCAATAATGAGGCCAAAATGCAGTGCTTTTAATGAAAAACTGATCTTCTAGCAATAGAAACTCCAATATTGTCAGTCCATACCTCTGTAAATAAGGATTTACTGAAAATCCAGTATTATGCTAAGTAGGCTCGGTTATAATTATGAATGTCAGTGAATACTTACTGGAGACTAGACCATAGAGTTTGTAGAAAACTACTTGTGGACCACCAAGAGTTCAGCAATAGAGAGGGAGAGGTAGTGCTATGTGGAATCAGATAGACCATGATTTTTAATCTGAGAGACATGTCCTGCTACGGAATACCTCTGAGTATCTGTTTCCTCATCTACAAAATGGATACATCTGTCATGCAAGGTTGATCCTAGGAATAATATGACATTATATAATGTAAGGGGTCTGAGACAGAGGTGCCCCCTGAATCATAGATCTGTTCACCAGATGATCATTGAAGAGTGACTACTGTAATGGCTTATATACCTGAATGTGACTCCATAGACACTTACAACCAAAGAGGAATTTAGGCTGGTGTCTGTGTAAAGAAGGCCTACAATGTGGTGTGGTTAGAGTATTCATATTGGACTTTTAAACAATGGAGGTGAAAGATGCCAAGATTATGGTTTCAGGTGCTGACTGATGTTGTTTGTGGAGATGGACAGAAGAATTGAATCCTGAGGGCTTTGTGATTATGCAGTCAATTCAAGGTACTAGAGAAGTGTAAGCCTGGGTAACGTAAGCCTGGGATGCTTTGAGGGGGCAGGAGATATTTGACTATGTCTGAATGGTTGACCTAAGATCTTGGTGTTCTTTCTGAGATTCTCCTATGGGTAAAATGAAACCAAATATTGCTTCAGCTGTTTAGAAAAGCCATTGAAAATTTGAATTCTAATCCCATCTCTTACTCACAAAACCAGATATTTTCTTAGTTAACAAAAATCATACAGATCTAGTATCTAGGGCTAGTTAGGGCCAACACAGCATATATTAGGCACAGTGAGGTTAAGTGTGTGTTTCTAATATGTAGTCCTGGAGAGTTCATTTGACAAACCCATTCAGAAAGGGGAGAGACCCACTCACAGCATAGCATGAATCAGGCCATTTAACCTTTGTCTATTACAAAGTCCTACATGGGGAAATTGCCACTTCTTCTTTTCTCCCCATATCAGAGACTGTTGAACATGGACTCAGTAGAATACTTAGGTACAATGAAATCTATAGACGACAAGGATGACTGATTCATACAGTCAACTAATATTTGTTGTCTAGTCTTTGTAAGGTTCTGCTATAGGCATCCACTGTTAGGGAAATGAAAAAGATGTTCTCTGATCTCAAAGAGTGCACACTGTAATGGAAAAGATGAGAAAATAGGTGACTTGTGGTATGGAGTGATAAATGCTACTATCAGATACAATAGGATATTAGCAGGACAATAATATCCTAATGTATTTCCTACATTATATTTTCCTAGTTAATTAATTATTAATTAATCCACCCAAGAAACCAACAGTTATTAAGTTATTACAGAGTGCTATGATGTGGTATTTAAAAGATTCATTAGAAATTTCTGTATTAAATCTTATTATGTCATATCCATTTTTCTGTATATTATTTCATTAAATCATTTTTATTTGTTCATTAACAACCCAGAAACATTTATTGCACACTTAGAACATGTCAGACCCTGTACCGCTTGCCAAGGATACAAAAATAAAAACACTCGATCCTTGACCCCAGGGAGTTTACAGGGAGACAGGCAAGTAAACAGTTCGTTTCAATTCAGGAGAACATCTCTTTCCTGAGCATATGTTATATTCTTACTTGCCAGACTGGAACCAAAGGTCACTACCCATTAGGTTCCTCTGCTGAGCAACTTTGTAAACTCACTCACTTCATTAGCCTCAGAGTCAGTTACAAACCTTACTGGCAATGGCATTATAGAGGAGTGAGAACAGCTTTTCTCACAGCTCTCCATCATACTTTGAAGTTTATCATCATGGAATAGACCAAATCAGTAAGCATAGTTTGAGTGTCCACCGTGTGCTCAGCTGTGTGGTAGGTATGCTGCTGCTGCTGCTGCTAAGTCGCTTTAGTCGTGTCTGGCTCTGTGAGACCCCATAGACGGCAGCCCACCAGGCTCCCCCATCCCTGGGATTCTCAAGGCAGAAACACTGGAGTGGGTTGCCATTTCCTTCTCCAATGCATGAAAGTGAAAAGTGAAAGTAAAGTCACTCAGTCGTGTCCGACTCTTCGCGACCCCGTGGACTGCAGCCTACCAGGCTCCTCAGTCCATGGGTTTTCCCAGGCAAGAGTACTGGAGTGGGGTGCCATTGCCTTCTCTGGTGTGGTAAGTATAGGGATCCTAAATAAATATAAGATGTAGCATCTGCCCTCAGAGGTCATAGTCTAATTGGGGAGCTATTTAAGATCACCTACATGAGTTCCTTATAAGCAGAAGAAAAGGTACTCTCCTGCTCCTCCTCCTCCTCTGGCAGCCCTGCCATCATTTAGATTTAGATTTACTGTTGAGTTCTTAAGGTTTGGTGCTGATGTGAGGGTAACTTTGGCATCAGTGTGCAGACCTAGCCACATCTGAACATTGTTGACTCTAGAAACTGAAGGGAATGTGACTTTAAATGAAGTTAGGTAGGTAAAAGCGAAGGGAATGGAGCATCAAAACATTCAATATTAAAAAGTCAAATTTAAAAAATGCCTCACCAAAAAGAATGGATGTTTGACTGTTTCACCCCTCCAGAAGGCAGGAAAA